TTATTTCATAAAACCTTTAAACTCAATCTAAAATAAATACTAACCTTATCGACCTCCCACCATGCAGGATAAAGTTTAGCTTGTCCATTGCCCAAATCAAATGATTCATCTCGTGCATTCTTCAAGTGAACGGCGTGAAAAGACGTCGGCATTATTGTATATCGTATATTTTTATTTTTCTTAAGTTTTCTTATTATTAGAAGACGTGTCACCCACGCATCGATATGCTGTTTTACAAAAAAAGACATATATTAGTGACTTACATAAATTTAAAAAAAAATTAATCAAATTGAAATATAAGAAAAATATAAGACTTACCCCCCATCGAAATAGCCATTGTCTTCGACCCCTAATAATACGCCCCACCAAGGCCGTTCAAGCAACAAAAAGATATCATCGGTGAGCTTGCATATGTCAGTGAAACACCCCTTGCTCCGCTCATGTAGATAAAAATCAACTGCGGTCTTAGCCCAAAGGGTGTTATCCAAAATTGTGTCCGGTAGTTGTTCCCTCTCCTCTTCAGATACCGGTATGGTACTGGCCGGTAACTCATACGAGAGCCAACTTGAATCCATCATGTCCGGCACGTCAGAGGGTTTCTCAAGAAGCCTACATATGACGCCATGTGAATCGGGCTCTTGAATGGTGGGAGGGACCTCTTCAATGATGACAGTGGCCTCTTGAACGGTGGGAGGGGACTCTCGAGGAATGATATGGGGGGCCTCTTCAACGATAGGAGTGGACTCTTGAGGGATGACAGGCGAGTCGGGCTTCTTCTTGCGGTGTCTTCGCACTATTGGGGTGTACGGAGACTTAATAGCACGTGCACGCTGTCTGATGCGTGAACTCCGTCGTGCAAGCATAACCCGACGTAAAGCATCCACTCTATCGGGCCGCTAAATAATTAAATACAAAAATCAGTAAATAAACAGACATGATATTTAAACAGTGAAAACAAAGACAAATATGTTTCAAACTTGCATTGTATTCACCCAAGTCATTATTCTATCATAGTTCACAAAATGCATCAGATAACAAAGAAAAATATGTTTCAAACTAATACCCTGAAGTTAGTATTTGTCTTTGTTTTGTCTATTGGTTGAAGTAATGCAATCCATTCAAGTTTCAATTTGCAGAAGAAGAAATACTTTACTTTCGCAACACGAAACTTAAAATCGCAACGCGAAACCAAAATCGCAACGCGAAATGAAAATCGCAACGACAGAATCGCAACGCGAAACCAAAATCGCAACGAAAGAATCGCAACGCGAAATGAAAATCGCAATGCGATTTTGGTTTCGCGTTGCGATCTTGTCGTTGCGATTTTGGTTTCGCGTTGCGATTCTGTCGTTGCGATTTTCATTTCGCGTTGCGATTTTGGTTTCGCGTTGCGAAAGTAAACTATTTCTTCTTCTGCAAATTGAAACTTGAATGGATAAATTTACTTTCAACCAAAAGACAAAACAAAGACAAATACTATTTCACAGTGTTAAAGAATACACAGTTTAGCAGAATTGGCAGCAACCGAACAAATTTACTTTCAACCAAAAGACAAAACAAAGACAAATACTATTTCACAGTAAAGAATACACAGTTTAGCAGAATTGGCAGCAACCGAACAAATTTACTTTCAACCAAAAGACAAAACAAAGACAAATACTATTTCACAGTGTTAAAGAATACACAGTTTAGCAGAATTGGCAGCAACCGAACAAATTTACTTTCAACCAAAAGACAAAACAAAGACAAATATATTTCACAGTGTTAAAGAATACACAGTTTAGCAGAATTGGCAGCAACCGAACAAATTTACTTTCAACCAAAAGACAAAACAAAGACAAATACTATTTCACAGTGTTAAAGAATACACAGTTTAGCAGAATTGGCAGCAACCGAACAAATTTACTTTCAACCAAAAGACAAAACAAAGACAAATACTATTTCACAGTGTTAAAGAATACACAGTTTAGCAGAATTGGCAGCAACCGAACAAATTTACTTTCAACCAAAAGACAAAACAAAGACAAATATATTTCACAGTGTTAAAGAATACACAGTTTAGCAGAATTGGCAGCAACCGAACAAATTTACTTTCAACCAAAAGACAAAACAAAGACAAATACTATTTCACAGTGTTAAAGAATACACAGTTTAGCAGAATTGGCAGCAACCGAATAAATTTACTAAGCAATCTAAGTGAAATGGCTAATCTAAGTGAAATTACGAGTAAATTTATCATTAAGTTAAATATGGAAAATCTTAAACTTACCTCGTTGCGTAGAGTATGAACCTCATTCTGCAACGATACTATCATCTCACGTAGAGCGGCAACCTCACCACGTAAAGTTGACACCTCCACACGCCATGCACCATCGTTATCGCGTAGAGTACCGATCTCCTCACGCAAGGCATTGACCTCATCACGTAACTCCCTTGACTCATCCCGTTGAGGTGGAGGTGGAGAACAGGGAGATAGGAGTCGTGGCATCTTTGCCGGTCGCCTATCATGAGGTGATGGTGGAGAAGAGGCTCGATGATGTGACGGGATAGGTGATGGCTCTCGTTCTAGAGGTGTATAGTCGGGTCGATCGGGTGATGGCTCTAGGTGAGGTGATGGCTCTCGAATTGGAGGAAGTGGATGCTGCTCATCATCCGTGCCATCAAAAAAATTCTGACTAGCTTGCCACCAATCAGTGGCAAGCTCTTCCTCCGTGGGTGTCAGTCTTTGTAATGGAATGTTGGCCTCCTAAAATATAAAAACTCAAACAAAGTTAAACGTCTACTATTAATAACTTGTTTATATATTATATGAAAGTATTTGTGTTAACTTACATTATTTATTGTGGCATATGGTATTAAGTCTTCCCAATCCAACAGAGTTTTCCTCTTCCAGGAAATAGCCCTGGGAATATCATTTGACGTTTTTATTGCATATGTACGCATGCTGGGGAAAGCCTCGAATATCCAAATCTACAAACAATATAATAACAAAATTAGTAATTGTTAAATAATTAATTATAATTTTAGAAACATTATATAGAAATTCTTACCTTAAAGGCCCAAACAAAGCCTGACAAAGTGTATTTGGACCCATCGCCCCGCAAACTTTTGCGGTCATCAAAGGCAGACGACAACTTAGTCCAGGTAGCTTTCCATATATACGAACCCCACGGAAACAGATTCCATGCATTCAGGTCCTCTACCAATATTATTAGCTCCCGATGAATAGGTTGTCTGGCCTCTCTGCCTAAAAAGCCGACATACACAAGTAGTAGAAGGCATACTCGGACAACATCGACGTCTTCCATCCGAGTGAAACCAGCTTTCTTATTAAATAATTTCTTCAGGTCGTCGACATGTAGGTTCGGCTTCTCCATTGACTCATCCGGAAAAACCCGGGATAACCATGATGGGCGGGCGATATGACGAGTGTACCGGCCTACATCATCGTGTCCGAATCGTAGACCAGTGATTAAGCAGAACTCCTTCCGCCCAAAGCAAGTATACGCTGGTGGAAAATGAAACCATATCTCTTCCTCACCACGTTGTATACTGTCGGGTAGATTTGATGTCATGGTCTGAAGCCACAAATGGGTCAAATTAGCATCTCCACCCGGATGCTGTACTCTCAGCCATGGCCCGAAGCAGGTTTCCTCAAACAATTGTCTTTGAGCAGGTGAAAGCTTCTTTGCAATTGTAGTGGCCAGGCTGACTTTATTTCTCAAGGTCAATTGAGCCGAAAAAAATTTATACAAAAACAATAAACATACCAAGTTAGATATACCAAAAACTACACTGTGAAGATATACCAAAAACAATAAACATAAAAAGTAGTAGTTTATTCTTGAAACTAAAATTTGCAACACTGTTTTGTCTTTTGGTTGAAATGAAAATCGCAACGAGAGAATCGCAACGAGAGAATCGCAACGCGAAATGAAAATCGCAACGAGAGAATCGCAACGCGAAACCAAAATCGCAGCGATTCTCTCGTTGCGACAGTCATTCTCTCGTTGCGATTTTCATTTATCTCGTTGCGACTCTTCTGCAAATTGAAACTTGAATGGATTGCATTACTTCAACCAAAAGACAGAACAAAGACAAAGACAAATACTAACTTGAAAATCGCAACGAGAGAATAGCAACGCGAAATGAAAATCGCAACGACAGAATCGTAACGCGAAATGAAATCTAAGTGAAATGGTTAATCTATTATTGAAATGACCAGTAAACTTATCATCAGTTTCAATATGAAAAACCTACAATAATGCAAACATTTCAAAATAAAAATAATTAAAAAAACTAACCCTCGGAGGTTGATTTTCCATTTCTGAATATTGTGAGGGATTTCTGACCGTGAATGGTTGTGAGGGATTTCGCCGGAGATGGGGACGGAAATCTTCGGAGATGGGGACGGATTTCTTCGCCGTAGAGAGTGAGAGATGGAGATGGGACTGAGTTGTGATTTTAGGTTTTAGGTTATGAGTTGCGATTACGGGATTTTGTCTTAATATTCTTTTTGTAATTTGAAAATAAAATACGCGTAGCGATTATAATGGCGCTTTAAATATCGCGTTGCGATTTACGGATACGCGTTGCGATTTTATGTATTATCGTTGCGATTTACGGATACGCGTTGCGATATACGGATACGCATTGCGATTTACCCATACGCGTTGCGATTTACGGATACACGTTGCGATTTACGGATACGCGTTGCGATTTATGTGTTCGCGTTGCGATTTTCATATTCGCGTTGCGATTATGGAAAATCGCAATGCGAATTTGTACTATCGCATCGCGATTTTCAAGAATCGCGTTGCGATTTTGGAAACTGATTTGCGATTCTGGAAACTGATTTGCGATTCTGGGGATCGCGTTGCGATTTTTATTTCGCGTTGCGATTTTGTTGGTCATTTTGGCAAATCCAAAAAAAGTTGGTTAAAATCGTATATTATAACTTTTTTTTGGTCACTGAGGCGATTTTCTCTAAAAAATAATACCAGTTCTTCATCCCACCAAGCTTCCCAGCTTTCTTCTCCCTTAACTCCAATTCCGCCTCTGTAAAATAGCCAATTTGTCCAATCTCTGAAGTCTTCCACAATCCTTTAAAGAAAAAAAGGTAAAAGAGGTAACGAATTTGGTATGATCCTACATCCAAAGAGAGATAAATAAAGGAAGGTTGCTTACTTTTGCCACTCAAATCCAGAAGCATTGAACAAATAGGGGGCAAAAAGCCATGAAAGAGCCATATACCAACTGCTGATTGAAAGAAGAATGTAGGCCAATGCACCCTCATTATACCCATATGCAAGGTATACCACCAACAAAAGCACAACTTCTAGCCTGAGTGCACCACAAGAGCTTAACTTAATATGGCTCGTTCAGTTAAAAAAACATACACGCACACAAACACACGTAAAGAGAGATACATACCCTTTAACAAAATGACTGCGAGAATATAGTCTGTAGTTCTCAGAAGATTTAATATGGCGTACCACAAAACCCCTACCAGTAGCTTGATACTGTTAAGAAACAAATAATAGAACGTTTCACTCCCTAGATCCTTTTTTTATGTAAAAAAAAAAGGAACAGAGAAATCAGGTGCATTGAGACAAAGCATACCCTGGCACCACCATGCAGGATTGTCCGACCAAAATAATGAGTTCTTGTACCAAGAGAGAATGTGAAGAAAACAGTGCAAAGCTGCAACTGCATTGTGATAAAACTGACAACCGCCTGCAGAATCAACCATATCAATGTTCCACCAACAAATAGAAAATATTAAAAAGCATGCTATGCAGACAGAGAGTCTAACTGCTGAATCCATAAAACTGACATTAGAATGGATTCATTACTAGTGATTTAGGATATAAAAATTACCATATACGCAAGTAAGAAAACAGATATCAATTAAATGGATCAAATAAAGGCATATAGAGGCAGCAGTAAGTTCATTAATACAATTCACTGGGGCAATCAAAGGATTAAGTTACATGAGGATAAACCAATTACCCTTAAGAAACCTTGCTCCAAGATGAAGCCCAAAATCATTGGCGCAGCTGAGAAGATGCCAATTTGAAACAGAAACCGAGCATTTAGAGCAGCTTCAAGAGCAGTGTTATCAGTTATCTGAGCTCTTTCTTGCCTTGTTTCACCAACTCCAGAGAGCGCCTGAAACAAAATTTTGGATTAATACCCAGCTAAGCAACCATACATGCATACACATACGAGCGCGCATGCCCAGGTAAGTGCAAACAAGCACACAATATTGAAGGACAACCGGAAAATAGCAAAAACAGTAAAGCCAATTGCTAAAGTGAACTTAAATAAATAAAACAAACACAGAGAGCTTTCAAACTGAAAAATATACATAAGGTATAATTCCAGTATAGAAGGAAAGACATTACCAACAGACATTTAGATTCTGCATTCAAGGAATCACCTAGTTTATGTTAATTGTAGTTAGTACATGTAGATTTAGTTATACGACAATGCCTATGGGTGTGATTGGGCTTTAACTAGAAGTTCGTGAGCTCACAATCCTTTGTATTTTTTTATATAATTCATGTATTTTGTACATGTGAACAAGAAATTTTGTAAAATGTACATGATAGAAATCAAGTGAACTATGCTAATCCAAATCTAGCATTTTACATCACCCTAAGAAAACTATCATTTACTTTCAGCCTTCTCATATTTCCTAAATAAAAAGATTTTAGTTTATTAATCATGGAAATTTCTCATTTCGATTCAACATGTTTGAAGCCTAACCGGGGGGAACAAACAAATTTAAAAGAGAGAGAGAGAGAGAAAGAGACCTTGGACGTTGAAATGCAGAAGACTTGAAAAGATCATAAAATCATATGAAATTGAGCGGAGAATACATCTGAAAATCCTACTTACCAACTAAGCCCTTCCATGAAGGAAAATATATATAGTCCATACAGTTAACTGCAAGAAGAAAAATAACCTTGTTCAGCAATTAAAATACAAATTTTAATAACATATATGCATCATGCTGCAATAAAGCATTAACTGCAGTACATTTTCTTGAATGGAGGAAAACCCATCTATAGCTCACAACTTGATGAGAACCAAAGCATATAAGAAAGAGCGCATCAAAAATTAAATGGCACCAAAACTGCATGAATTTTTTGCCTATAACGGGCACAGATTTCTGATTAATAACAGTGTCCCATTTTAACGATTTTTTGTAGACAACAAGCATGCATAGAATCATTACATAGAGCTAAAATACGCTGAGGACAAACATTAATATTGCAACATGAACATTGAATCATATAAATTCACTTTAGGTAATATATATACATGTAATACACACATGTTTATACATGGCCCAATTAACTTTCGTTCCACACTTTAGCATCAGTTAACATGTAACAGTCGCATACCATGGTACAAAAATAGTATCCCACGGTGGTAAAGTAGAAGGACAACATTCTAAAAAAGTCAAAGAGCTGCCCAAGCCTGTATACATCTCGACTAAGAACCTGTTCACCATTACCACCAGCAACCTTCCCTTCAAATACAGCAATCTGATAAGCCCAACATCTCTTCCTTTGCCAACCTACAAATTCAAGTCAATAACTCACATCTCAGTGCTGTGTAAATTGAAAATAAGATATGATATAGAATTAGTATTCTAAAACCCAAAACAGCAAGAAATAATCCAAATTATAAAATATCAAAATCAAATGCTAAAATACCCAAAAAAAAAATATATAAAAAGATCATAAATCCAAGAACACCCAGCTAAAATGGCATCCATCCTAACAACCTTGCGAACCTAATAAGATGCGAAAAAGAGAAATATAATCCCAAGGCCCTAATACTAGGAAAAGAAATAATACTAATTAATATTAAAAAGAGAAACCTAGCCAAGCACTGAAGGAGCTGCTTGCTACGCCTACCAGCAAAATCTGAGCTGAATCTTTTTTTCCGTTGCCGTATATAATCGTTTTATTGATTTGCTTTTAGCTTTGGCTTTGGATTTTCCGTCGACACTTTGAACAAGAACACTACCCCTTTACAAAATCCCTTGTTCTTATCAAACTTCCTCTAGATTTCTTCTCCTTTTGTTTTTCTTCTCTCCATTCTCCACATTGCCTCTCTCTGCCTCTCAAAGGTTTGTATCTTTCACTTTCATCTACTTTTATGCTCTATATCGCAACGGCTACTCCATACTCAAAATTTGGAAGCTTTCATAATCGATGGATAGATGAACATTTTAGTTTAGTTGATAAGAGCAAAATGAAATATGTTCTTAAAGCGTGATATCTGCTATTATACATACTCTGTATGTGTTTGTTTTGAGAAAGTCCTGATTCGTTTTTTTTTCTTTGTGCAGAATTTTAGTTTCTGCTGTGAAATATCAGTTTTTGCAAATGGCGTCAACAGCAGTTTCCGGCCTGCCACTAGCTTCGGCAAGACCCTGCATTGCATCTTCTAGCAGGGTATTTAAGGCAGGTGCTGCCACTCTAGATGTCAATTCCAAAGCTGTGCCATGGACTAAGTTAGCAAGTGCTCGCAATTTATCACAATCTTTAGAGCCTTTCCGGTGTGATTTTGCATCATCTTCAGTGAAGTTTAAGAAGGTTGTGACAAAGGCAATGTCTGAATCTAGTGAGAATAAGCCTGTTTCTGGGTTGCCAATTGACTTGAAAGGTTTGACTTGCTATTTGTAATACTTCTTCCCTGTGTGATTTCCTTAAACTGATCCTACACATGCCTCCTTTAGTAGAAAAATACTTAGAAAGAAAAAAGAGGATCTGTCTCTTACATTCTCTCCTTGACCTTTTTTTTTTTGTCATTGGGAGTTTTCATTAAGATGTAAAGCTGCCTACCAAACTGGAAGGCTTCTGTCCAAATGAATTCCAAGAAGCTATTTTAGTTCCGTAATAGTTTACGACATTCTTATTAAACATTAGGAATGCTGTTTTATGCAGGTAAGAGGGCATTTATTGCTGGTGTAGCTGATGACAATGGATATGGTTGGGCAATAGCGAAATCTCTTGCTGCTGCGGGTGCAGAAATTCTAGTTGGTACATAGGTGACTGTAAGTAATTTAGATCTTTGTAGACCTTATCTAAGCTTTTGTATGTCTTGACAAAAATGTAGCATGCTGACAAAAAAGTTGCCATTGTAGGCTTTGAACATATTTGAAACCAGCTTGCGACATTGAAAGTTTGATGAATCACGAGTGTAAGAGCTGGTTATATTTTGCAACATATTGGATACTTACTTGAATTAATGGTTTTTTTTTCTAACAGACGTTGATATTTCAGATTGCCCGATGGCTCTTTAATGGGGATTACCAAAGTATATCCCCTAGATGCAGTCTTTGACGACCCTGATGATGTACCCGAAGATGTAAGGGATAAGTTTATGACACTTTAGAGAATATAAATGTTGATAAGTTCAAATATCCTTATACATCTTTTTGTCTTGGTTATTACGTGCTGATAAAATCAAATAAGTGATATGCAGGATCTTCAAATTGGACTGTCAAGGTATGTACCAAAATACTTTCCGTAAGAGCATGTCTAGGGGCTATTAGAGTTTAGACCCCAAAATTTTATTTTGGTAGTAGGCTTGAGCTCACATTCGGACCAACTATTGCCACCTAGCGGCATAGAAAATTTTAGGATTTCTGGTCCCTTTCTATATATACTTTTGTATACTTATCAGATGAGATTTATCAGCATGTTATGTTAATTCTTATGTGTTGCAGGAAGTTGCAGAATCCGTTAAACAGAACTTTGGCAGCATTGACATTCTTGTGCATTCACTGGCTAACGGACCAGAGGTACTTGAGTTTTTAGCCTCTCAATGTTTAATTGGTTTCATCTTTATTCTTAAGTAACAATTTCTTCTTCACAGGTTAGCAAACCTCTGTTGGAGACATCTCGTAATGGATATCTTGCAGCTTTATCTGCTTCTAGTTACTCTTACGTTTCTTTACTCAAGCATTTTGTCCCATTGATGAATCCAGGCATGTCTTCTTGTGGGTTCTAGTTTATCATTAAGTTCACTTTACATCTTATGCTGCTTTGTTGTCAAATAGACGACTCAGTGCTTGGTATGTATTTCTGAAACAACCTTACTGCTGATGCAGGAGGCTCTTCACTTTCTCTTACATACATTGCTTCCGAATGAATAATACCTGGGTATGTTTGCTATGCTTTGTTTTCTTATTGTTCTGGAAGTCTAAAACAATGTGAATATGTGATAATGCACAGATATGGTGGAGGTATGAGTTCTGCTAAAGCCGCACTAGAAAGTGATACAAGAGTGAGTTCCTTAAGTTGTCTGCATGTTAAAATTATTTTATTTTTTGTTCTCCAGAATTTGGCATATTTATGCATTTCTCTATTCGTTTTCAGGTACTTGCTTTTGAAGCAGGAAGAAAACACAAAATTAGGGTCAACACAATATCTGCCGGTATGAAATTGCCATTGCTCACATCTTTAATCAACATTTTTAATATCATAACATAACCTTAAAATTGCTGCCTTTTACTGATCCATGACTTGCAATTCCAATGCTTTCTCTCGGATGTTGCCATGAGATAATTTGGTACTTCAAATATTTTGACAGAATAAAATGTTTTGATGACGTTTGATCATCCTCTTTACGAAAAATTATTATATGAACTTGCCTCACCACGTCATCCATGATTCCAACCAATAAAAACCATCCATTTTACCTTTTTCCCTCCATGTCATCAACTTTCCAAGGATGAATATTCACTTTTCTTCTCCATGTAAACATGAATGGGTGGTTACTTTGAAGTTCATTTTAAGTGGATTGATGACATGGATGAAAAATGGTGAAGTAGGAGGCTTTTACTAATTGGGACCATGGATGATGTAATGAAGGCCCGTGAAATAATTTCTCCCTTTATACACCTTGTTCTATCTCATAAGTGTGGCATTAGCGTATTTGCAAACTACATGGCCGATGCCAATTTCTGTTGAAGTAAATTAATGATGCCCATGTCAAGAAGGGATAAAGAGGATGAATAGGTATCCAAGGAAATCTCCATATGTAGTTTCTCACTGAGGGATAGTTGACGGAAATAATTTTGGCGGACAGCCTCGAATCGTGCTTAGGAATTAACTAGCCTAGTCATTAAACTTCGTAAGTCAAATTATTCATTGCCTTTCCTTGAACTTTTGTGCATTTTGCCACATCCGTTTGCCCGGTACGTAAAACGTAGGTAAAAAACAAAGGTTATTTGGATTTGAGAAATCCTTGGAGAGTGTTCCTTTTGAATCTTACCCTCGCTGTAATCTGTAAGTTTCCTTCCAGGTCCACTAAGAAGTGCTGCAAAAGCTATTGGATTTATTGATACAATGATCGAATATTCAATTGCCAACGCACCTCTACGAAAAGAACTATCAGCAGGTTATTTGGTGCAACTATAAAATTTTCTACTGTTACAAATTTTTTTCTTGATTGCTGAAATAAAGAAATTGATGATGAAACAGATGAGGTTGGTAATGCTGCTGCCTTGTCATCGCCTTTGGCCTCTGCTATCACCGGTGCAGTCATATATGTCGATAATGGCCTGAATGTGATGGGTATTGGAGTTGACAGTCCCATATTTAAAGACCTCAACATGCATTAGGACTAGCTGCCAGGGGACAGATAACAAACTCAGCTGAATGTTCAATGTAGGACGTTTGCTGCTGGTACCTTACTGGTCTATGACATTTTGATCAGGACCCCATTTTGCCATGAGAATACTTTTCTTTCATTTAGACTCTTCAAGTGTTTTGTTGATAGACTTTCTTAGTATAACTGAGTTTTATCACGTTAGTGTGCTGCCAAAGATTGAACTTTCTTGCGTGGACAAGTTCCATTAATAATTTGATTTGCTTTATCACTGTGTTTTCAGCTTATGCCGGATTTTACATGTATCTGTAATTTGCACGAAGTTGGACCACTCTTCTCATGGATCCTCCTTTACCTAAAACCGGGATAAAATGATAACAAAATACATATTTATAAACTTCTAAATGGTCAGATATATGGGAACTAGCATCTAAAAGATTCATAATACAAGCATTTTCCTACCTTAGATTTTAAATTAAAGTTACAATAAAGCTAAATCCAGCGAGCCAGATAACTAAAAAGTTAAGTCATTTACTTTACCTTGTAGAAGGTCAAAGGGATTAAATAGGATACAAGCACTGAAAGTGGGCAATGCTGGTGCTGCTGCTGCTGTTGCTACTGCTACTGGATATACAAAAGCTGTGGTTAAAATCCCAGGTCGTTGACCAACCAATCTTGCTTTGCTGAGTATCGCTCGTTGGTCGGTCATTTATTGCCATCAGACCCTTCGTTCATCCTACCTTCACCCATCTCATCATACTGCTGTTTTTTCCATGCTCTTTCTTGATCCATTGATTGCCCTTGAGAGAATCGGTGCTCTCCATCTGTTTTTAAGCCAAACAGACAAATAAATAAAAATAACGAATGCCCTGCTTTCTTCACATGGCTTTAAATATGTCAATCACAATTTTTCCCGATGTTGAAGTTACAGGAACAGAAATAAATTGAAAAGTCAATAATGAGAGACTTAAGACAGAAGCTATGAACTACATGATGTATCCCTGTTTGAAATTTGTATCACTGCATTAATTATTATGAGAATAGAAATGAGGAGAAAAACAATATTTGAGTGGAAATTTGTCTTAGGCACAGGCAAATTGAGCATCCAAAAGCTACAACCGTATTATACAATAGATGATGATGCATCCTTATTTTTACTATTATCATATCATAACTATATGTAATTAGTTATTACCACTGTCATTGTCAGATGCATCTTCAAGCCTCGCAATTGCATTAACTAGGGCTTGTTCATGCTCCTACAATGACAAAATATCCATCAAGATTGCTGTAACAGCTTATGCAGAGCAAGACCAAAAATTGACAATGCTTACTTTCAGCACTTTCTTTGCTTTCTCAATCTCTATAGGATCAGGATGGCTTGCACCAAAAACTTTTTCCACCTGTTGAAATTTACACACAATTAAGAATAAAAAGATACACACCACATGAGACAATTGCAGTCTATAGATGATCTCCAATAGTAACTATACCTCCTTAATTAGAGTATCTGTATGAAGTATCTCAATATCACCCAGAGCCTTTTTCCCAACGCCATTTTGCTTAGAAGGAAAATCTTTTTTGGCACCCTTTGAATTCCCCCTACTTCTTCCTGCTCCAGCTACCCCACCACCACGAGCCGTGGACTTCTTAGCTCCTTGGCCTGGTCCTGGACGACCGCCTCTACGAGTTATTCCAGGATCTTCACCTTCCCATCTAATATCTTCAGGAGATATCTACCATTATACATATAACAAATCAATGGATGGAAGAAAAGCATAACCCAAAGAACTTTTCTAATAATGTACTGTATGATTGACAAATGACGGGGAAAATAGAATACCAATTTTAGTCTCTAATTGCTCCACATGCATCAAGTGATAAAAAGTATGAACAGATGGTAAAAGACATCATAGGAAGTAACAAAAAACAATGAGACGTTATAATTATCAGAATTATGACTCCAGCACGCAATAGTACAAGCCTAAGACAATGTTATTACCATGTTCATAGATACAACAGTTCCAAAACATGGACCCTATCTTATAAATGTAATGCACAACCATTAATTGGGACCAAACTGTGAAGATATGCAGAAGGTTGATGAAAAAGGGCGGAGATTTAACTTCAATATAGTTATTTATTTGGAGGTTGGAACAATAACTTTGACATTTACTGCTGAATTACATGATCCACGTTCACATTAGTAGATAATAGATATAACAAAATACATGCAATGGTAACTTGCAAACCTCCTAAATTTACAATTCCAGACATAAACTGGTTGCAAATTTCATGAAAATCATATTGATCATTGGCTATGCTTAACAATACACTAGAACTCTACAAGATATAAACCATGGCTCAGGAAACGTGCAACGAGCTTAAAAGTTGATTTGTTTAAAAAGATACTTAACATACTAACTGAAGGCAAATCAGTTCATAAAAGCTACACTGTATTGTATGTAAGAGCATAAAGATACAACAATTCTACCTCTTTGAGATTGACCCATTCCCAGGTTTCATTTGCCGTATTAATATCATAAACCAAAGCATGCAGCCCCTGTCAATATTGAGACATAAGATTACAAAGAGCTCCATTAATTAACAGCTTAAAGTATTATTAAAAGTGAAGTATACCTCAACTCGGTTATAGTCTGTTATAACAGCCTCATAGAAATGGTTATCTTCAGGCCACCTGGTCCAAACTTTCCTTCCAATTAGCGGATCATATGGTGCTGCTTCAGCAGTTTCATTTGTTGCAAAAGCTCCTGAAGAAGAACGATTTGGAGCCTGGGGCCTTCCAGGAAGACCAGTGGAAGGGTACTGTGTCGACTTCAATGAGGATGCACCAAAAGATACATAATCAGTAAGTGATAAAAACAGAATATGCATCTCTCAATCATTAACATTTCTTATGTCACTTGAAACCATTTAACTCACTGATTTTGACTTCTTGTTCTTTGCTCCTGGGGGAGGACCACGTCTCATGGCCGATGAAGATGGTTGCATAGATGGATGCAATGCAGGAGAAGGTCCACCCATAGATAATGAAGCTACAGACTGTGACGTTTTTTGCTTCTTGCGCGATCCTGATACACTTGGACTAGGTAAAGGGTCATGAATAGGTTTACTGGTACTGAGCATTCCAGGCTGGAGCCCACTCATCGTTCTCCATTCCCTAACAGTAATGATTGGTCATAGTTCCCATCACAATTCAGAGATAACCAGAAATCAGTAATAAGAGATAACCAGAAATCAGTAATAAAAGCTAACCAGAAGAGCATGACATTGGTATAATCAACCTTATCCTACGAATCATGTCATTGGCATTAACCCTCAATAGAAGCTCCCTATGTTCCTCGTCAGATACTCTCAACTCCTTTCTGAGTTCAGTAATTAAACTTTCCTTCTCCTGAGAGAGATAATATATTAAGTTTATAGCTTTAAAACCTATGAAATAATCTTAACTGTCACAAAATATTGAACAATTTACCCAAGTTAAAGCATCTGATTGAGCTTTAAAGGCCGTTAAAACCGAACAGTATGCTTCCTGCTCAATGAGATGGATTTGTGTTTCCATGTCACCATGCATTCGAGGCAAATGTGCAGAACCTGCAACTGCTGATCTTCCATTTCCAGCAGCTGCTGATCTTCCATTTCCAGCAGCAGAGCGACCCCCTCTTTGAAACCTATTTTGATGTGAAGGAGGGAGGTCATCATCTGTTCCTGAAGTTGTGTAAGCTCATAAAGATTCATTATTTAAGTTTATAGGATGTCACAATATCTATGGAAGGTTCACAAAGAGTAATGTACCTATTATTTAAGTTTGGAAGGGTTCATAAAGTTACAAGCAATTAAATTGTTTCTTGAAATTGCTCATTAGTGAACATTTCAGAAGACTTCAAACAATGTCAAAATTGCAACATTGACAAAGAGAAACAGGTGAGCAAGAAAAAGTGAGTTCCAATCTATGGCGAATACAAGCTACTATTAGATTGAAAAACATGTTTCATGAACCCTAGATACTCAAGATTTGCCAAGGAAAGCCAGATAACTTTTGTGCCAATTAACCAAGCTAAATAAACCAAGTTCTTTTCATCTCAAAAAAATCAGATCACAACAAAAATAAAGATAAACTGAAACAAAACTGAGAACTCAACTCACCGCTGCTATCAGAAAGCGCATAGTCCATGACAGCTCCTTCAAATTTCAACTTTCACTAATGCTGTGAAAACACTTTGATCCAATAGAAGAACCACAATCGAGCTACTAAATGTTGAGAAAGACAAGTACAAATACCAGGAAACAATCAACAAAAAAATAAAATAGTCATAAATTCAGCCAAATTAGAACATCAATCAACTAAACTCACTACAAACATCATCCAGATTTTTTGTGCTACAAGACATGGCAACTGTTGATTATACCCTAGCTGAATGCATGTTCCTTATAGTATGCCTTCAAAATATTATGCTTACAAATTATAATTGAACTTTTTTACTTCAAAGTTCAAACTAGCTATGAAAACAGTGCAAATATAAAGCAAGTGGTGGTACTTTTGGCATTTTACAATTTAAAATCTGTGAGGTTTCAGGCTTAAGGAGTTTGCCTTCGTTAATACTCCTTAATTATGCATCAAATGCCATATCATAGAGGTGTCAATTAGTTACCTTCGGACATGGAAGCAAATAATAGCTAGAAACATTACCAATTAACTCTTTTAGAACAATAAATAAATTATTTTCTACATTGGCATATAGATATTATGTTAAGATTGGAATTGTAATTTGGCCATTAGACAACTTTTAAGTACATTGATGATTTTGCATTTTTATTATTTACTTATACTCTATTGCAACTTGCTTTTCATGAAGCAGGAAGCAAATAGCCAACAACCAAACAAATAAGAATTCAAGCAAATTCGTTGAGAAAATAAATCCTAATACGAAAAGTACGATATTAACGAAGGCGGCAATTCAAAGATACAAATTTTCAACTCTAATCAAGCTTCACAATTATTTAACCAGTCTCGCCGCTATAGTACTAAACATGATAAAAAAAATCAATTTATGCTAAGTTCATATAAAACAAACCCTAAATTCACGAAAACTACGCTCCTATAGTTATTCCGAAGAAAAACACAAAATTTTAGAGGCTCACCTTTCCTTTCCAAAGCCCTCCAATTCAGAGAAAGGGAAAGCAAAACATTTCACCCAAAATTCACTTCAAATAAGCTTCGAGAGCTATAAAATTCGATGAATCTCTTTTGAAAGCTAAACTCCGAGAAGCTCCGACGCTGTAAAAGACGAAACTTTCCCGGATAATTCCTTCGAATCCCAAGCAAAAAGAATATTTGAATCAAATAAGCTCCCAAAAAGTTGATACGTTTGCCGAACACGTTCCCTTTGGGACTCAATTCTGATACGAGATCTGAAATTCTGCCTAAATTTGAGAAACTATTGGGATTTCAAGGAATTAAGGATAGATTTGGTGATGAAAATTAGGGATGAGACTAGGGTTTAGAGAGTGAATTTTTGTTTGACGAAATTTAGTTTGGATTGCGAGAGAGATTTAGAGAGAGAAAACGCGGACTTGAAATCTATTTTTTTATTACTTTTCGTTTAGTTAATAGTTCATTTTGGGTTCCGCGCTTTACGACCAGATTGATGTCGTTGGATTAATATTGGATTAATACCAAAATAATAAATAAGTGTCTAAATTAATTTTTATCTCATAGATGTGTGTAACGTTATAAATGTTATCTATTTAGGTTTTTAGAAGTTAACGGTGTTCATTTCTAGAGTTAAGTGACATATGTTATAATCTGATAATTTTAAAATTTATTTTTTAAAATAAAATATTAAAAATAAAAACTAACTTTTTAATATTATAAAACAATCCTAAAATCTCAAACTTAAACCTTTATCTTTCACCACCTCTCTTTTCGACCACAACCATCACTACTGATGTAGTCCTTCTCATCTTCCTACTCATTACCATCATAATTTTCGTCAATTGATCGTTAGTATCGTGTGAGAATGAGATTTTAATCTTAGAGTTTGGACGGTTTAAAACGTTGATTCATCATCGATAGGTCGTCGATAGGTGGTATGTAGGGGGAGAGGAGGTCGAGTGGAACTTCATTGATTGCAAAAGGCAGCAATTGTAGTGGGTTTAGGTGTTGAAATGAGGTTTTCAAAGTTTTGGGTTTATTGTAAAATTTTAAAAAAAATTAAAAATTATCAGGTTGTGACTCGTGTCATTTAACAGGAAAATTAACATTGTTACCAACCCAGACACCTAAATAGGTAAGTTTGTAACATTAGGCACCTGGATGAGACGAAAATTAGTTTAGGCACTATTTGGAAAAATGTGTATTGTTTGGGCACTTATTTTGGTATTAAGCCATTAATATTTACAAATTTGGGTAAAATATACCACAAGTCAGTCTATTATTAGTTTGATTACAAAAGGACTATATATTTTCTAATAGTTATAATGTAGTCACTAAAGTAAAAAACATTACAAATAAATCATTGGATCATTAAATATTAGACTAAATAGGGACATGACATAATATAATACTTCATTCGTCATATAATATGTGTCATATATTGACTATATACATAATTTTAGGAGATATATTTGGTGAAAAAATTGATAAAATTATCTCTAAAAGATGATTGATCTATTTGTCGGGTTTGTTTTGATAGATTTAAAAGAGTAAGATATATAAAGGTAAAAAAGGAAATATAAGAGTTGCTTTTTGTTATTTTTTTAATATGACATTTTGAATTATACAATTTTAAAAATCAAAAGATACACGTTTAAAGGACGAAGGAAATAATAATGATAGTCCCACAAAACTTATATAATATTTCAATTCGGTTTTAATTTAAAATAATTTAATAAATTTTATCATTCAATATTTAAAGAATCTTTAATTTAACCATTGATATTATCCTAAATTGTTTTTTCATATTCCGTAAAAGTTGTAGGGTAAATTATGCATTTAATATCTAAACTATCAGTTTTATTCTTTTTTAGCACCTAAACTTTAATTTTTTTTAAAACATACCTAAAGTTTATTTTTATTTCATTTTAGTACCCGTTCAAAATTTAATGTTAAGTTTTGATTATTTTTTTAAAGTTTAGGTACTAGAACGAACCAAATCTGATATTTTGAACACTAAACGCATTAAATTTTTAACGATATACTAAAATATTATATATAATTTTAATTATATAGAATATAAAAGAAATAATGTAAATTGTAAGGTCCACACGTGTGAGAAAACTTGGTGTGATGGGAAGGTTGCGTTTATTCAACAGATTGACAATTCAGCCGATCTCTCTCTCAAATTTAATTAAAGAAAAAGAAAAAATGAGATTTAATTTCTCTCCAAAATCACCTCTTCTCGCACTTTCTTCTTCCTCTCTCACTTCCCCTTGCCTCCGTCCTTTCCTTCCCTCTTCCCTCAGATTCCCCTTTTACCCTTCCCTTGCATGCCGCGTGTCCACTGGCCGCAGCCTTCGCATGGACTCGTCTTCACCGGATCCCTCCTCCTCCCTCTCAGTCGACTCCGTCGCCGACGGTTTGAAAAATCAAAGCTTAAGTGAACACGATAGTAATAATAAGAAGAAATTTGTTAAATTGAGCCTCGAAGATCTTAATTGGGACCATTCATTCGTTAGAGAGCTACCGGGTGACCCTAGAAGCGATTCAATTCCACGTCAGGTTTAATTTATACCTTTATTATTCTTTTTTTTGAATTGAAATTTATTGAAATTATGTATATATATTATTTTTTTTACTATTATAATTTCAAAATACTAGCTTGGACTCGGATGTTTTTATATTTGATTTTTGTCTGTAGGTTTTCCACGCATGTTATACGAAAGTCTTGCCATCAGCTGAAGTAGAGAATCCGAAGCTTGTTGCCTGGTCAGATTCAATGGCTGAGTTGCTTGATTTGGACACTAAAGAGTAAGTCTTGCCTTTTGATTTCAGAACATATTGATGAAGGAATAATGATGGGCATGTAGGTAATCCGTATTCTGCATTTAGACGCTAGTGGTAATTTACAAAAAGGAAAAAAAAACAAACCTGAGAGACATTTTATTTTATCATGTCATGCCTAATTGCCTATTCCATGTATTAAAAGCCCTTGTCTGGCACTGCCTTTTCGTCTTGGTGAATACCATAATTACACGGATTCTGCATATGGGAACTTGGATTGTGTTTCATAGGAAGTTTAACTTTCAACATTTGTGTGAGAAAATTGAACAAGGGGAAGTGTGGGGAAATCCTGAGGTCAAATTTGTGAATATATCAGTGAAATCTCATGCCAATGATCTATTGAGATGTCATGCCAGTGGCTTCTTATCCTATTCTATATTTTTCGTCACCTCTAGTTTTCCAATTGAAGCATTTGAAAGTGAGTTTGATTAATTTCCACATATAGGATACATAATACTATGGAGAGGGATTGGAGTCGAAACTCCATTTTTCGTCACCTCTAGTTTTCCGCATATCGTCATTTATGCACTGAAATTACATGAACCATGATCATTGACTCATCAACTTTTTGCTGCAATACCTGATATATTATCCTATTAAGAAAAGTTCTCTGTAAGACTAATTCATTGCAGATAATCTTGAGAATCATATCTTTTGTCCAAGAGATTAACTATATAGGTCTTTATTCGAGTTGCAGATTTGAAAGACCAGATTTCCCCCTTAAATTTTCAGGGGCTTCTCCTTTGGCAGGAGCGTAAGTATTTTTTGAGTTTTCTTTTCTTTTTTGAGAATTACTACCAGCTTCTTTCTTAGCCATGCTCCATTCGTTCCTCACTGACATTCCCTATGACAGGGTGCCATATGCTCAATGCTATGGAGGACATCAGTTCGGCACATGGGCTGGTCAACTGGGTGACGGCCGTGCTATTACTCTTGGGGAGATTCTGAATTCAAAATTAGAAAGGTGGGAACTGCAGCTTAAAGGAGCTGGGAAGACACCATATAGTCGATTTGCAGATGGGCTTGCAGTTTTACGGAGTAGTATCCGTGAATTTCTTTGCAGTGAAGCAATGCATTTTCTAGGAATTCCAACTACCCGTGCTCTCTGTCTTGTGACTACAGGAAAATTTGTAACTCGAGATATGTTTTACGAGTATGTTCTTTTGATTTCTTTTATAAAGATAACCATAGGCTAACAAATTTTTAACTCTTTACATCTTTTACTGCAGTGGCAATCCAAAGGATGAGCCTGGTGCAGTTGTTTGTAGAGTTTCCCCGTCCTTTCTGCGGTTTGGTTCATACCAAATACATGCTTCCAGAGGAGGAGAGGACCTTGGTATTGTACGTTCTTTGGCAGACTATGCCATTAGACATCACTTCCCTCATATCGAGAACATGAGCAAAAGTGAGAGCTTGTCTTTGAGCCCTGGTGGCGATGATCAATCAGTTGTGGATTTGACTTCAAACAAGTATGCAGGTAAACACGATTCATTACAACATGTTGTATGAAGTTTGAATGGCATGGGAAAAGTGGATTTCGCACTATCAAAATTTGGATAGACTAAATACCTACTGGTAATAATCGTAATGTTTACTCCTTTGTTTATGTACAGCTTGGGTAGTGGAGATTGCTGAGCGGACTGCTTCTTTGGTTGCGAAATGGCAGGGAGTTGGCTTTACTCACGGTGTCCTGAACACAGACAACATGAGCATTTTGGGTCTCACCATTGATTATGGTCCTTTCGGATTTTTGGATGCTTTTGATCCGAGTTATACACCAAATACTACAGATCTTCCAGGGAGAAGATACTGTTTCGCAAATCAGCCTGATATTGGTTTATGGAATATTGCACAATTTGCCTCGACTTTGATGGCTGCAGACTTGATAAGTGATAAAGAAGCTAATTATGCCATGGAAAGGTATTTCGATCTGATTTGTGTACTCTTTTATTTGTAATAACACTAAAATATTCCGTGGTAGACTGTTAATGCATTGTCCTGCTACAGGTATGGGACAAAGTTTATGGATGAGTATCAAGCATTACTGAGCCGAAAACTTGGCCTCCAAAAATACAATAAACAGCTTGTTAATAAACTTCTTGGTAATTTGGCTGTTGATAAAGTGGATTACACAAACTTCTTTCGGGCACTTTCCAATATCAAAGCAGATCCCGGCATTCCAGTGGATGACCTGCTGGTGCCACTGAAGTCCGTTCTGCTAGACATTGGCAAGGAACGCAAGGAGGCTTGGACCGATTGGGTACAATCTTACATTCAAGAGGTACAATTGGTTTTTGGTCATTCGAATATGCACTTAATCAAGTGATAACCTTGATTATATCTGAAATCTCACAAGCCCTCTTTTCCCTGCAGCTTGTTGCAAGCGGCATCTCGGATGAGGAGAGGAAAGCTTCCATGGACTCGGTGAACCCTAAATATGTTCTCAGGAACTACCTTTGCCAGAGTGCTATTGATGCAGCTGAAATGGGCGATTTCGAAGAAGTCCGTAGGCTGCTTAAAGTAATGGAGCGGCCATATGACGAGCAACCGGGAATGGAAAAATACGCACGTTTGCCTCCAGCATGGGCTTATCGGCCAGGTGTGTGCATGCTATCCTGTTCCTCGTGAGTTTATCACTCAAGGTTATGCTATACAAAAATCAGAAATACCAAAAAAAAAATGATCGCGCTTCTGTATATATAATAGTGGAAAAGACTATTTTTATTTCCTTTTCCTCATAATAAGGTGTAGTAGTGCTGGTAGACCCTCGTTGGCTTATATATGTTGTATTTCTGCTTTGACTATACCATTTAATTCTGATATTTGTATCCCATTTGTTGTAATGCAATATTCGGGAAATAATAGTATAAAAGAAAAATAAAATATTAGGTAGCATTGAGTTGTTTTATGTAATATATATATATATATGATTTTATAGGGCATTGTTTGAACTTGAGTCTTTGTAGGTTTTATTTGGGTTGCATTTGAATCTAGCTTGTTCCCCGTTATGTCTGAATATTTATAAGTATTTAAACTAATAAAAAATCAAAATGATTATTAAATAATTGGGAGAATTTAAGTTCACCTTATCGATCGATCATCCATATTTATATATTTATAGGGTTTTTCTTTTTCTTAAAGAAACTTTTTTTAAAATTGAATAGTCCAACTCGTGTGAAATTGTCCATGTCTTCTTTTTGTTGCTGAATACGACTATAGGATAGAGTAAAATCGTAATTGATAATTTGAGAAAATAAAAATAAAGATTAAGAATAAATAAATTTTACGTGGAAAACTTCTAAATAATATAGAGAAAACAACAGGCAATGGTAGAAGAATTTCACTATGAGAAAATAAGAATTGCAATTTTTCTCGATCTAACAAGGAGAAAAAAATAACAATTCTCTATTAAAAAAAATAACAATTATTTTTGATAAAAAAGAGAACAATTTTCAATAAAATTATCTAATTTCTCTAGTATTAGAAGAAAGTTAGAATGATTTGAGATGATTTTAAAACTAAATGAACTAAGGTATTTATAATTAAAATTTAAAGACTGGTCTTATAAATATCCTACAATACAATGATTACATTACAATTATATCGTAAAACTTTTTCAACAAATGCTGCCATTAATTTCAACAATTTCTGCAGCTTGACCACTCACAAATTCGGTGCACCACAAATTCATCATTCGGTGCACAGTTTCAACACCCTCGTGTTTATATAATTGAGTAATATATATCGATTATAATGTCAATTTATACACACGTGTGTGTGTATAGATTCCCTTGTGTTTTTTTGTTGATCCATCAACGACGAGGACCTCAAAATTTGAAATAAGCGAGTGGTCTGAGTATGCCACCACTTCATCGAAAGGTTAAACACGTAAATAAATTGAAAATATTGGACTTTTCTTCCACAAATAAATGACAAAAATGAAGTCATTTCACTTTGACTTTGACTTTAAGCATAAGCTAAGTTTTTGTCTTCAAAGTCAGTCATTTCAATGGACACCCAACGAGCTCCTGCAATGTCTTTCCCTCTCTTTCCTCTCCTCTTCTCTCTAATTTTGCTGCCCTTCTTTAGCGACGCTCAAACCATCGTCGGAAATATAACAACCGGCGCTTCTCTTACCGCCGCCGAAAACAACTCCTCTTCTTGGATTTCACCTTCGGGCGATTTCGCCTTCGGTTTTCGCAAGTTAAACAACAGCCAAAACCTCTTCTTGCTCGCCATTTGGTACGACAAAATCCCAGAGAAAACTTTAGTTTGGTACGCCAACGGCGACAACCCGGCACCTCTTGGATCGAAATTACAACTTTACGCTGACAAAGGGCTTGTACTTAGTTCCCCACAAGGTGAACAGCTATGGAGTTCGGAGATCAGAGATGGAGCTCTCGTTAATGGCGGTTTGATGGATGGTAATGGGAATTTCATGGTTTTAGGAAGCAATTCCACGCTTTGGGAAAGCTTTAAATTTCCAGTTGATACTATTTTGCCGACGCAGATTTTGGATAAAGGAATGGTGGTTTCAGCTAAGCAATCGGAGACCAGTTTTGCCATGGGGAGATCTCGATTGGTGTTTCAATCTGATGGTAATCTTGTTTTAACGACAATAAACTTGCCCAGTGAACATCTTAACGAGCCTTATTATGCTACTGGTACGGCTGCTGGTGCTTCATCCAGTCCTGGTGTCCGGTTTGTTTTCAATGAATCAGGGTACTTGTTTGTTTCCCGAGAAAATGGAGAAATTTACCTTTTGACACAGAGAATACCAGCCTCGGCTAAAGACTTTTATTTCCGAGCAACCGTTGATTTCGACGGCGTATTTGCACTGTATTCGCATCCGAAATCGGCTTCGAATGGCAGTGATGCGAAGTGGACTAGTGTTTGGTTCGTGCCGGATAATATCTGCACGGCGAGTTTGGTCAGTGCGAGTAGTGGTGTGTGTGGTTTCAATAGTATTTGCAGTCTCGATGATGACGGAAGGCCGACTTGTGCGTGTCCGAAGGGATATTCGTTGATCGATCCGAACAACAAATACGGCGACTGTAGACCGAATTTTACTCTCAGCTGTGGTGATGAACAACCAGGAGTACCTGCTGAAGACTTGTATGACTTTGAAGTGCTTATAAATGTGGACTGGCCATTAGCTGATTATGCACTCTTGGAGCCTTTTACTGAAAATCAATGCCGAAATTCTTGCTTGCATGATTGTATGTGCTCCGTTGCCATCTTCAGGCTCGGCGATAAGTGTTGGAAGAAGAAGCTGCCATTGTCGAACGGACGAGTCGATCCTGGTCTTGACGGAGGAAAAGCTCTTCTCAAATTCCGGAAAGGCCCATACATTCCATGTCAAAGAAATAAGAACAAGAGAGATGGAACTGTTTGAAACACGGGTTTTTCATTTCTGCAACATCCTATGATTTCATGTCTGAATTATATTTGCCTGAAATAAGTTGGTTTCTTTGATTTTTAGATTTTTTCGATAAGCTTTCGTTGGTTTATTCGATTGGTTATATTCCAACCGAATTAATTAATTGATTTTTAATTAAATTAAGAGTGAATTGCATTATATATCCTCAAAGTATGACCTCGTTTTAAATTGGTTCCTAGACTTCAATATTCCAAATTTTATCCCTAACTTATGACTGTCATTTTAAATTAGCCTTTAAACTTTTGAGCATTTCAAATTCATCTTCAAACTATGACATTCATTCTAAATTAGTCTCTAAAATTTTTGGAACATTCTAATTTAATCCCAAATTATACGTATATATTGTCAATAAAATTGTTAGACCATATTATATTATTATATGTTTGAAAAAAAGCAAAATTTAGGTTAAATTATTGTTGAAATTAATTGTATATTTGGATGGAATTGTGATGAAATTGAAATGTCCAAAAGTTAAAGGATTAATTTAGAATTAAAGTCATAGTTTGGAATAAATTAGAATATTAAAAGTATAAAAATCAATTTAAAATAAAGATGATAATTTAGGGATATATATTATGCAATTTACTATTAAAATAATAAAATCTAAACTTATGTATATGCCTAAGTCTATATTCCTAATCCGGAGGAAGTGGAAAAGAAAACTTAAAAGACAAAAAAAAAAAAGGAGATTACTCTATTAGGTCTAGATGTCATCACCTAAAAGAATATGAGATTAAAAAAATATGAGCAACATGACCAATCGATCAAATGTACTTACTCACCTATTCAATATTCAAATACTCAATACTTATGTTTATAAAAAAAAAACCAATACTTATATAAAACCCAACCTTATTAAACTCAAAAATTAAATGATCTCAATAATAAGAAAAATTATTTTTTTTAAAGGTTTCGAGTTCAGACGACGTCTATAGAATTTGTACGTTCATTATATATTGACTAAAAAATTATAAATAAATAATATATTATAATCACATAATGTAATAAACAATTATATAAATTTACTGGTTAAGATTAATGTTAATATAATTATATTTATACTTATAATATATTTGTATACATTTTTTAACAATGACAATTGAATTTCATTGATAAAAACAACGTAAGAATTTAAAATTATAACGCATCCAAAGAGAAATTTGATTAATAATCACACAAAAATTAATACATAAAATAAAAATATTAAAATAAAAAATATGAAAAAAATGAAATATCCTACTGAGAATGACGTCCAACATCAAAAGAATACAATAACCTTTATAAAACTTATTACTTTTATCGCACGAGATATTTTATGAAGTGATAAAAGAGTGGTGAACGAACCAAACAATTTGTCATATTGCTTCACTATACAATTCTGATTATATCGACAAACAACATTTTACCAAAAAGGAGATACGCTAATAGGTGACCACCGACAAACTAATCAAAAAATAAATGTCGTGAGGATTTTTGTGCAAGTACCAACACGACTGCAGATGTATACGAAAAACTTATCAAAAGCCGTAAAAAACGTGTCACAAGTGCAGATAAAAACATATCACAAAAACAGAAAAAAATGCGCCACAAGAACATAGAAAAATGTGCCACAAGAACATAAATTCTTATTTAAAATGGAAAAACTCAATAAAAACAAAAGATATAATATGAAAAATAATAATTACCTACGATCAATAATTAATATTAAGATTGATACTGCTAAACAAAAAAGAAAAGAAAAGAAGAAAACAACACAAAAATATTGAATATGTTAGAAAGAAACAATGGATTTTTATATATTTTATATAAATCATAATTATTTTTTATAATATAATGTACTACAACAATTTTAAAAATTATATAAATTATTAATTTAATATGATTTTAAAATAATTAATTTATCATAAATAATAATCTTATATTAAATGTATTGTTAGATGATGAATATTACTTTAAAACATATACTACTTTTTAATCAATTAAGTTTATTAAAAAATATTATTATTTAATTTTATTTTACATGTTTCTTTTTTGAATAGATGACATATTTAGTTATTCAATTACCACTTTAGTTATATTTTGGTTATATAACTATTAATTTTTTAAGAACATATTTAAAGTTATATTTTGACCATTTATCGTTTAAAAAAGTAACGGTGAAGCCTACGTATTATCATAAGATAATGACATATTATCATTGAAAAATAAAAAAAAATTATCACATCAGTGGTTATATTTATTTTTTAATGATGTGTACTCAAAATAAATTAAAACGTAAAATTAAATATAATTTTTAAAAAAATTAAATAGCTAAAATAATTCTTTAATTTTATATAAATTTGACGATAAATAAAAATAAATCGATGAGATTGAGATTGACTCTCAATTATTTTTTTTGGTATATATATAAAACATCATATCGTTATCATGGCCAGAATTATGCTCTCTACTCACAATTGCATATATTAAAAAAACCATTGGTTGAAGCATGGAATAGACTGTAGAGCAGGAAAAATGGTGGTTTAAGCTTAACAAATACCATGACCCTTACCTAAATAGCTACCTATTTCTTCAACCTCTCCATCAATTCATCTCTTTCTTCTTCAGCAATTATTCCTTCTTTTTTCTTCGTTCATCCTGTTTTTTTTTTTTTTGGCGTTGGGTTTTGTCATTTTCAGTCCAAAATCCAAAACCCACCCATAATTATAAACCTCCAGCCTCAATATCGACTCCTTAGTTGTGGAACTTAATTTTAAAGAACGGGAATCGAGTGATAGGGAGAAACAAGCAAATTTTCCCCTCCATGGATTCTCAGGTTATGGTGGCGCTTGCTCTTTCTCTCGTCGGTGGATTCAGTACTTCTCTAGGTCAGTTTTCAGTCTTCTTCTTCATCCGTACTCCTCCATCCCCTATTTTTATTATAAGCTGTTTTTGATTAGTAAACCTTAATTGTTTCATTTTTATGTATGTTGTTATGGGTGTGTTTTCTTCTGCTTATTTTTGGGTAAATTTCTTCCATGTGAAAATTGAGACAGTCTTCACTTTTTGAAGTGTATTTATCACAGCTACTGCTAAAGTTATTTAATCATTGTCTCTTGGATTTTATCTATACACATGTTATGGGCCTGTGCTGAAGTTACAATCATTCGAAATCATAATATGAATTACCATTGCTGGCATTTGGTATCATGCTAAGAAGAATTTCCAATTTTAATAGTAATTTATATAAAGTTTTAAATCCCAAACAGCCATGGTTTTGTATAAAGTTATACATATATGTTTGAGAAAAATGAAGCTGGAGTCCGTTTCTTTTTATGTTATATATTCATAGAGATTTCGAAAGCTACATTTTCTGGTCTCGGTGTCATATGATGAGAAAGAATGTTAGAGACCATAAACCCTGTCTATTGCAAGGAACTCTTGCTGTCTTGTGTTAAATGGAGAAAGTTAAATAGATAACTGATTGTGGTTACATGTGACATTAACCTCTAGCCTTTGTAGTTAGTTGCCTGTCCAGATTTAATGCCTCTGATATCGTATAGAAAACGAGGTAGCTTGTTGTGCTCAACTGCTGTTTTTGGTTAGAAAGTATTGGAATGATTTTTGCTTCAAATAGTTATGCAGCCATTGCATCTCTGCTACCCCTTTTGTCACTACCGGTTTCACCAATGGCTTTGATTTTATTGTCGTAGGTAGTCCTAAATTGCATCTCTGCAATTTATTCTAACGGCTTGTCTTCCTGTTTGGATCAGGTGCTTTTTTCGTAATTCTTAGTCAAGCTCCCAATTTGAAAATGCTTGGGCTTTTACAGGTAATGCTACAAGTTCTGGTCCCAAAGAAGGAATATGAAACCCTTCATCCAAATATCAGTTAGTGACATTTTTCTAATAGTTATTAATGCTAAAATTTCTAATTGTTAAATTTCAATGGTTGAATTCTTTGAGTACTAACTTTTGCATAATGCTAACAATTAAATACTGAATGTATTTTTCTGTTCTTTTTTCTTCAAAATAGATTGATGCTCTTTTTAAAGATTTTATGATTAACAAGATACTTTTACTATTAAAAGTTCTAAAATAGTATCGTCCGGATACATTAATTGTCCTAGCTATGTATCATTTTCAATAAAATAAAGTGATTTCCGAAATAACTTAACCAAACTCACTGAGGGGGGGAAAACGCATCTTATTTAGCAAAGAATTAGTTGTTAAAATGGAGAGTAGACATGAATATTTCTTTGCTTATCTGCCTTTTTCTTCCCCATTTGTCTTTGTAAGCTTTATTTTCTCAAAGTTATTAAAATGTTATCTAGTTTATATTTATTTAGTCCAAGGATGGTTGGTGACATTTTAAAGAAATAGATAGATTATATGCTGATATTATCTAATGCAATGGTGTTTCTTTCATGCAGGGTTTTGCTGCAGGTCTAATGTTGAGCATATCTTTCCTTGATTTAGCTCATAATGCAATGAACTCAATTGGGTTCTTGAAAGGCAACCTCTGGGTTAGCTATATCTTATCAGTTTCATTCTAATTGTCATTTATGTTTTCTCGTTATCTAATATTTCTTTATGCAACAATGCAGTTTTTCGCTGGTGTCATCTTCTTTGCTGTGGTTGCCAATTTTATACCCTAGCCAACTCTACCTCATGGTTCTGAGGTGAAAGGCAAAAAGGTTTGGATGATTTTTATGTGTTATCTTACTGAATGATTTTTAATTTTTTTTTAATGCTATGCATCTTTATCTATACCAAAAAAAATATCAAAATATTCATCGACTGTTTGATAATGCATTGGAGAACAGAAAAGTGGCAATGAAGGGGGCAAGGATATGATGAAAAAGCATCGGCGCCAGGTTTTTTTTAGTGGAATTATTACAGCGATAGGTAAAGCTGTCTTGTAGTTGAATTTGGTTCTAATTTTTAGGCTATTTGGTTTGAACTTTTTGGAAAATTTTAGTATTTTTGAATATTTGGTTGAACTCTTTGCAAAAAAAAAAAGAAAGGAAAAAGCTTGGGTTATCAGTTTGATTGACTGAGTTTTTCTTTTATGAATGACAGGCATAAGCTTGCACAATTTTCCGGAGGGAATGGCAGTTTTCCTTGGTTCCATGAAGGTGGGCAGTCCCAACCTGCATTATCATGAAAACAATCATTGTTTTCAAATAGGTGGTAACGATGATTGTTTTCATAATAATGCACCTTTATTATTTGATGATTTTTCAATGATTCTAGATTATTGATGTTCCAAGGATGATGATCGAACAATTCTTTATTTTAGATTTCATTTATAGCAATTAAGAACAACTACTCCTTCACTTCCTCTCTTTCTCTTTGGGACTGGGTCGGTTCTTAAGCCTATAAAGCCTTTGAACTTAAATGTCTTACTGAGTCCCCTCAATGTTTTTATACGTATGCTAATGATATCTTTTTCTTGCCTAATATTTGTCATATAGGGCCTTCGTGTTGGTCTTAATTTGGCTTTGGCCATTGCTTTGCACAACATCCCAGAGGTACATATTCTTTAATCCGGTAATTTTGAAGCCAACCTTGAAAGCAACCCACTTACGAGGTTGGCTCACAGTTTAACTAGTTCAAAAATAATCAAAGTAATATATATATATACATATATCAAATTTAGTATTTTATGATAACAATGAGCATTTTGGTTGATTCATAATTGTATTACGACGGACTTATCAACTACCAAAGTGAGGTTTATATCTCATAACTGATAGATAGATAAATTTCTTAAAATTGTGTTCATTTTATAGGGTGTTGCTGTCGCTCTTCCAGTTTACTTTGCTACGCAAAGGTGAGAATTTTTATTGAGACACTGGTCAATTCGGCTTCCTGTAAGACAGTGTCCATTGGACAATCACATGGTGTGGGCACAAACCATTGTCATTTTTAACTACGCAAATGAACTAGAACTTTTTGGTGAAACTGGTAACTGGTTTGTTTGTATTATTCTTCAGCAAGTGGCAGGCATTCAAATTGGCAACGCTCTCTGGTTTTGCAGAGCCACTTGGTGTCGTAATTGTCGGTAAGCGGACTGCTTTTTCACAAAGTACAGAAAAAAGATGAAAATAATGTTAAATAATTAAAGTAAAACATAAAATCTAAGATGCTTTTATTCTAAATGCATTTAATGTTTATATTCTAATGGAAATGTAAACGTTCGTTATAGTTGCATTTAGGTTTGAATATAACCTATACTGTTGTAGTTCACGGGGTATTCAGAGCTTATTTGCTTTCAAGATAATCTTCTCAATCGATGTCAGATTACCTAACCTTGTTTATTTGTCTTTTTCTTGTATCACAGCTTATCTGTTTCCGAGCAGCTCAAGCCCCGAAATTCTTGAGGGCTTGTTAGGATCAGGTTTGTAGTACGGTTGATCACTCATATTGGATCTGATTCCGGAAAAAAGAATCTAGTTTCCCATGCTCTATGTTATCATCTAATGAAAATCCCTATACTCTAAATCTATGTCAAAATTTCAGTTGGTGGGATGATGGCCTTCCTAATATTACACAAAATGCTGCCATTGGCCTTCGATTACGCAGGGCAGAAACAAGCTGTCAAGGCTGTTTTCTTCGGAATGGCATTCATGTCTGCAAGGTAATGAAAATTATAGCAGAAGAATTTTCTGGAGGTTCGAAAGTTTCTAATTTTCACTTCTTAGCTCATATAGACAGATATATGCGGTTCGATCCTCGTTATCACATCGAAGGGTTAATGATGCTTTGCAAGATTATATTTTCCGGTTAGTTTCGAACTTTAACATTATCTCTTCTACGGTTTTTGTGCAGCCTGTACTTCCTCGAACTAAGCTTACCCAAGGAGGCGAACTCGTAGCCTGTTTCCATGAACCTATCAACAAAATTGTTGTAAAATTCCATGTCTTGTTTTGCAGACTGTATTCATTGCTTTCTCTGATCTTTTAGCCACTCTGGAAGATCTCAGAAAGCCCCCCAAATTGCAATGTACATCATATCAAATTGTTCCTTTTAACAATTGAAATGAAAAAAGAAAAAAGAAACCATCTATTTGCTAGGCATGGCTCTTTGAAGTCGTTAAATAGGGATGTTAAATAGGGATGACAATGAGACGGGACAAGGAAATTATAAATGAGGAAAATTGTGTCGAGAGTATCAACATCATAATAAATAAGGATGAAAATTCAATTAGAATCTGATGGGTTTTAACTCGATTCAGTTCTATAGAATTGATTTGCTTTCCAAAAACTTGAATTCGAGTTTAGTTGGATATTTCTAAAGAGAAGATCAAATCAAGTTTGGGTTAAAATTGAAAAATATTCTACCTAACTCTAGGTTAATATTAGTATTGATATTTATATGTTCAAGGATAATTATTATAATATTCTTATTTTCTTTTCTTTTGAATTAAGTTCTTATTTTACGTAATAAAAAAATTATATATCTATTTATATCGAGTTAGATTGAAATTTTTACCTTAAACTCAGGTCGGGTGCCAAGCGGAGTTTTATACTTGGATCAGACTGGGTCAAAACCTGGTTCAACCAGACCCTTGATCATTCGTAATAATAAATCTATAATATCCGATCTAGACATTAGTTGGTAAATGAATAAAATAACGGTGCTTATAATAATTTTCAAATCCATTTAAAATATTTATCATTATTTTGGCAAATAACGGAGGAGAAGCCAACTTTGGTTTTTATTTAGGCTGGCCAAGGGCAAAGTGAAGCCTCTTGGAAAACCTGTCATTAAAGGCATATTCAAGACGCAAAAGGCCGAAAGGCGAGTCCATTCGGACTCCAATCCCATATCCATATCCCCTCCCACGTTTATTCCTTGCCCCCGCCGGATTCCCTACAAACACACCAAACATTCAATATAACCGGATCATTTTATCATCATAACTTCTCTAATCATCTTTTTTCCGACCGGAACGTGAAAGAAAAATGAACCGGAACAAATAGCTTACCGGGCACATTGGGGCCGGACCATAGATCGTGTCCATAATCGGCAAAAATAACTCCTTGCACAGGCCCCAGCTACACAAGCAGATAAATCGAACGAATAAAAATCAAATTGTGCAAGGATCAAAAGCGAGTAGAATCAAGGTGGAAAGGTCTAAAACACAACCATGCAGAATATTTAAACACCTACCAACTTTAAAGAAACTTCACTGGTGCTGACTACATATGATCGACCGGAGCCTACGGCACCTTCTTTGTAACCTCTCACGCTGTTAGTTCCCCCAATGGCAAATGCTTCATGAGGAGGGAAATTACCCACCACATGCCCACCGGACAATCTAGTAAGCGAAAAACGGCACTAGTCAGCAAACTATGATAATCTCTGATTCTCTCCCACTTTCCCTCCTCTATAATTTTGTTTTCCAAGGAGAAATATCGAAGTTCAGGATCATATACCAAGCAACTATGGAAGACAAAAGTTATCAAATGTCGCAAGCACAGAAAGGTACATCATATACTGTAAGCATAATACCTTAGAAGAAGGCGAGCAGGACCGAGTTTAACACCTTTACTCGCACGAGCATTCACTCTGTTGAAGTACAGCCAGTCGGTCATGACAGGAAGCCCTTGTTCCATGTTAATCGTAAACTGCAAAGATAACAGAAATGAGGCCCATCCATATAATAAGCGATGGAAAACCACTAGGTGCAGATGCTAACCATGGACGATCCTTTGTTACCGGAACCAGTATAGATGCTCTCCAATTTGGCCAGTAAAACATCGTCACAGGGCTTACCACTACATTAAGAAAAGGGGATTTCATAGAAGATTAGAAGCAAACTAAACCATAAAAAGTATTAACAGCAGCAAATTAATGCAGAGTGAGTGATCCAACAGAAGCTATACAACAAGCATAAAAGGTACATACCTTGCCGTAAGTGGGCTGCCATAGAAGTCTTTAATAATTGGATTTCTTTTTCCGTCACGCGCACCAGCACGCTAAAATATTATGATCAAATAGTAAAAAAATCACAGAATTAAGACATAAGCCTTAATCCTCCCAAAAAGGAATACCGATTCGGAATGAAAACTAAATTTAAGGCACTACTTTTCACAAACTTTGTTTTGAAGGAAACTGAAAACAGATACCAAGCTGACGAGAAAAAGCAAGCTATCAAATAAAGTAACATGATGTACCTGAAAAAAGAGCCCAGCCGTTCCACTCCATTTGGGCCTGAGTGGTCGACTAAACTCGACACCGCCTGTTATACGGCCAATGCTCAGACTGCTATTATCTTGTTGGCTACCATGAACAAGTGTCCCAGAGGTTCTTGAATTCTAACAAAAGCAAAATAAATAGCTCAGATGAAAATCAATCTTTCAATCACTCAAAAATCAAAACGCAGTTCAAAACCCACCTGGACAGTTATTGTTCTAGATGTTCGCTTGTCATTTCCTTCTATCCATGGGTCTGTGTAGTTAATGCGGAATGTAGAGTCAATTTGGCCCTTCTCTAAGGAAACATTAAGCTTTTTGTTTTTTCCAAGCAAATTTCTCTCGGAGTACGCAAAACTGGAAATGGGAAATAACATAGTATGAGATGAGATAAACAGCATTTCACATGCCATGACATATATAGAGCAGAATATAAATTCCTCTCCCTTTTATATCAATAACAATTGGGGGGATTAAGAAAAGCTGAAAGTTCATGGTGACAAAACTAGACCATATATGCCCACTAACGTATCTGAAAGCATGCTCCGAGAATCAAGAATAGAATAAGAAAATAAGATGATAAAAATAAATAAATGGAACGAAAAAGCATCTAATAATCATTGTGAATATGATTTTCTCCTTCAGTACTGGACTCCCATGGTTCTGAAAATGCAACCCCGGAAAAGCAACTACTATGCAAATAATGGCTTAACAAGAAAAAAGAAATCACTGTCCACAAGACTGACAACCAAAGGAAGTGACCACAGACATTCATGACCAATTGATATTACCTCCCAAAAAGTCCTGATAAAGGGTCACTCGTGATCCTACAAAATAAAAAATCGCTTGATAAATGTTTATTTAACTATACCACAATATAATAAGCATGAAAATTGGTAACTAATTAGGTGAGAGTAGAAGCTAGTTCATGTAGTATTGCAATTCAACTGGTCTTACCCACTTGATATTCCAGCACCAGCAGAAAAACGACCAGTTGGACGTTCAACAACATTTATCATCAAATCAACCTTATTATCTACAAGGTTGCAGAATCAAAACAATAATGGACAAGTAAATAAAAAGAACAGTACTCAAAATATTAACACGACTAATGTTAGTCCATAACAATATGACTGAGTTTAGGGTAATGCTGAGTACCTCACCCTAAAAACAATTATTGCAATCCATAACAATTACAGTTAGACCATAATAATATTTCACAACAAAATTCCATAGAGGCATAGACTATTTGTTATAGCATTATTATGTGTCTAAAATTCAGCTTCAAATCAGGTAAGGTCCTCAGCATGAAACATTGACTAAAAAATCAGAATGAGATTGCACATCAAATACATTTTCCAGGAATTAGCTTAAATATTTTGTCAGCCAGCTAAACGTACCTCATAATACAACTTGCAGTATTTGCATGCATGTGTTTTTAAAAGATATACTTACTCACCTCCAGCTGGTAGAGGAAGGATGCTGACATCTCCCAGACCCATAGTTGACACAGTATCCACATCCCTTTTTCCTTGAAGCATACTATACACCTGTAGGATTATAATTCAAATGAAACAAAGCAAACTAATCAGGACAAATTATATTCTCCATGGCCATACTCTAGGATTAGAATAGACAATTCGTGATGACGTATCATCAATTAAATGCCAATTTATGTACAAATAGCTAGATCTAGAGTCACACCTGCCCCTTCTTGGTTGTGAGCTGCCTAAGTATTGTATCAGGCTTCGTCTTTCCCTTAGTTGGTTCAACACTGAGACAAAACCGAAGTATTTCTTTCATATATCCTAACACTAATAAATTAAAAGGTTTGACATGCATGTTTGCGAAAGCACCTATATAAGTAAATAAACACCCAAGTGCGTGTAAAGCAAACTGAAGGCGGGTTCTTACGTCTTTCGACCAAGGAAACGTACAGATATATCATTGACCTCTGCTTCTGCAACTTTTAACCTAATAGTACCTCCAGAAAAAATATCAACTCCAGAAACCTATAAGGTCAACAAACAGTATTTTGAACATGATTATATTCAAAGATCAATTAAGAAAACATTTTCATCACCAGATCAAAGAATGCAAAGCACTAACCAAACCAAAAAGACCGCGGTCCATATACCATCCATTGATGGAACTAATTACTTCATCTAAGCGCTTGTGATTTATCACTTTTCCTGCACAACTCGACACCATAAGTGAAAATAATGAAGTTCTATTTTGACCAAAATTAGAAAGCAGTTCATTAAGAGGATAATATAAAACATATATACATCCATATTTAACAATGCAGAGGGAAAACTTACCATGCCAATCACGGAAAACATCCTCAAGAAACTTTGATGGCAGAACATTGGCTCCTTCACAGACCAATCCATGGAAATCTTGGTTGGGTTCAACCTTGAGACACAAGAATCCAAGTTTAATAAAATCAGTTCTATACATGACTAAGATATAGGGTTGAGTTGCTTAAAGACAGAAACAATATGACGATGAAAATAAACTATGGCACGTTAAAGTCCAACCAAAATGAACATTGTTCCTTTTCCATACGGTATCTCATTGTATCAAGCTTTCCTAACAACACTCCGACGTGTGCTCTGCTTTTCTGAAGACAGACGCCAACAAAGGCAGAAGGAAGGGAACACAATGCAGGTAGGGGTGAGCAAAACAGGACTTTATTCAAAAAAATCAAAAAATTTTTACTCGACTCAATTTGACTTGATTAGTAATTTCATAAACTAAACTCGACTTGAAAAACTTCCAAATAAAGTTTGAGTTATAAAATAGGTCTCAAATAACTCAAACTTATAGTTATTAGTGGATTGATTTTCAAGTTCGAGTAGCTCAACTATGCATTATATATGTGTATTGCATATGAAAAATATATGTATATCATATATGATTATAGAAAGTTGTTTAAATTGAAATCAATTAGTACCATACCTTAATAAGTATTTATAATTAATTTAAACAGAAAATCAAACAATTGAACTTAACTGGTATTTCATAAACTTGAATCTCAAAAATTTCAAATAAAGTTTGAACTATAAACAAGACGAAAACATATTTTCAATAGAAAAATTAAGAAAATATCTAAAATATATTTGAATTTTAAATTTATAGGGGCGACTGCCTACACAAGCTCTAGATACATCCCTGACTATAAAACAGTACTTCAACATAATTAACTCTGAAATTTTTTTAATAACATACTTGAAACTCCAATTTCAACTGATACAGATGCTTTCTACTTCAAGGAAAAGGTAGCTAAGAATGAACTAGAAACATTCAAAAGCTCTAATTAAAACGAAATAGCTTTAGATAACATACTTGAAACACCAATTTGATATCGTTCCGCGAGTCAACGACCACAGGTGTACACGAGGAGAAGTAGCCACTATCAATGATCCGGTCCACATCTTCCTGGACCTCCCAGGTCGTCAATGCGGAGTTGGTTCCGCAAGCTTTCAACGCGTTAAGAGCTTCCATTTCGAGCTCTTTCCTCTCCAACTCCTCTCCATCTTTATTCCTAACCAGAACCTCGCTTACCAGGACTCTCTCCTCCTTAACTAGATCTGCCGTTGCCAAATGCATGTACTGAATCGACTCTGTCGAGTTCGGTTGAGTCAGCGACAACACGGCGGAATTTAGTAGAGGCGATGGCGATCTACTGATACTGTGTTTCTCAGACACGAGAGACAGAGATGCAGAGCAGAATAAGGAAGATGTTGTGACATTCGAGCATGATCCTGACTCGGAATGAGTTGAAACAGTGCATAATGGAGTAGAGTGAGCTTTAACATAGTTGGAACGAATCCTGAGCAAGTCATTGAGTTGAAAGGCCAGGTGACGAGTTCCGGCGAGCTGAGAGGCTAGAGTTTGCGAGGGAGGAAGGCGGGAAGAAGGAAGAGGGATTTTGAGGGAAGAAGAAGTGAACGAAACGCCATCGTTTTGATGCATTTGCGGATGCAAAAACTGGAGATTTGTGAAATGAAATTTCGGATTCAGTCTGGTTGAAAGGAACTTCGAAAGCAACGACGAGTGACTGGCTGGGAAATAATTTTGGGATTGAACCATAATGGTAAAATTTCCATACAAGCCCTTGTACTATAGGAAGAAATCCTTCTTGACCTCTATCTTTTTAAAATATAAGGGTATAATACATCAAACGTCACTGTACTATATTCAAATAACCATTTTGATCATTAAACTTTCCAATGATCATTTTAGGCATTGAAATTTAAAAAACAAATTACAAAACTATAATTTTATAACAGTTTGATCAATTTAATAACTATATTACAATTTTTATAAGTTTAATGATTAAAATAATCATTTGAGCTTAGCTTTTTACTTTACTCAAAATATAAATGCTACACTTTTAATTAAGTGTAAAATATATAAATTCTGATTTTATAATATAAATGCTACAATTTTAAAATATATAAATTTTATAAGTTTGGGCATAGCTTTTAAAATATAAATGCTACAATTTTAAAATATATAACCTTTTTATTCAATCTTAATAAATAGCATGTGAAATTAACTCAATGCAAGTTCAAACTTAATAAAATGACTTAACTGTGTCATGTATATAAATTAGGGTTCGGTTGAATTCAGATTTAATTCTGAGATAGGTTATTTGTAATGTTGATTGAAGGTAACGAATTTAGAATCCGACCCGATTACAACGATTTATAAATTTAGTGATATCAATTTTAGTTGGTGTTCCAACATTTCCTAATTATAAACTAATTCTCGTGGCATAGTTCTTTACTGCTCTATGTCTATGTCTAATTCGAGTTTGGGGAGACTCTACCTGATTTAAAATTTGATCTATTTTTTTCAGTTAAAATCTGTAATTGAATCAAATATTTTTCACCTTAAACTCAAATAAAAATCGATCAAAATTTATCCTCTAATTTTTTTTCTAACCCAATTTAATTAAAAAAATTTACATTATAAAATCGAATCATATCAAAAACTCGTTAAATCCGAATCTCATAACCATCCCAACTCTTCTCATCAATTCATATGTATATTTGCTCAAAAAGTGAAAATTTTACAGAGGGATACTTTTATTTCTGTGGGACGGCCTATTTTTGCTTGCTTGGTCAATACGAGATGAAGATGTCATCCTCCTTTCGTTTTAAAGTATGGCAAATTAAAACCTCTTTTTTTATTGTTTTTTTTTTCTTTTGGTTTATATATTAAAAAGTTTAATTTTAATTTTATCCTTTTGCTTTACGAAAGCTTAAAAATTTATCTTTTACTTAATTCATTAGAATTTATTCATTATATTTTATGGAAATTAAAAAAATTAATTAAATTGAACAATATTGTTAAACACAATCATTCAACATTTTATATCTAAGAAATTAACATAAATCAATAATTAAGAAGCTTATTTTTTTAATAATTCATTTTTGAATTTTATTTTATTTTGATTATGGATATGTATGGATCAAATTAAGGTGGAGTTTTTCTCGATCTAATTATTTTATCTATTTACTCGTTATCCAATTTGATCTGAACTAGGAAAATTTCACTCGACTCAAAATTTGACATAAGTAAAATCCCAAAGCCAACACAAATGTAGTATATATATAGATAAAAGAATCTTGTTTTTATTAGGTAAAATATATATATCTAGTTGAAAAAAATAAAGAAAGAAGAATATTATTGTGATTATTCATATATATAATCCACTTACACTAATAAGTTTTACACTAATTTATAGTCATTAGATTTAAATAAATAAATGGTATTTAATTGAAATTTATAACTCATAATAAATATTTCTTTAATTAATGATAAAATAATATATTTCTTTTTAAGGATAGGATTTATTAATTATGGTTTAGGATTCATGATTTAGGGTTTGGGTTTGTAGAATAGCATTTGAAATTTTAAGATCTCAGGGATTGGGTATGTAGTTTTAGTGTTTATGATTTGGGATTATATGTTTAGGATTTTAGGGTTTATAATATGTGGTCTAGGGTTTAAGATATAATGTTTGGGATTTAGGAATTGGGATTTATGATTTTATGGTTTAAAATTTAAGTTTTGTAGCTTATACTATGCAAAACTAATAAGTTTTACATCAACTTATAGCCATTAGATTTAATTAAAGTTTATAATCCATAAATAAATGTCTTTAACTCACACTAAAATTATAGTATTTTCAGAGTTATGGTTTATGATTTAGGGTTAAAGATTTAAGCTTTAGGATTTATGGTTTGAGGTTTACAATTTAAATTTTATGATTTGGGGTTTAGTGTTTGAGGTATGGGTTCAGTTTTTTAGATGTTTTAGGGTTTGTGCATTTGGGTTTAAGGTTAAGGATCGGGGATTGGAGTAAAAAGAGATTTTGATTTTCTGCGAGTTAAAAGATATTTATTTATGGGTTATAAAATTAATTAAATCTAAGTCATTTATTTTTGTAAAAATGTGTTTTGTATTATTTAAAAAATACACAGAAAACACAACATGGACATGGACCTCATTAAAAAAAGAACTCACCCTAGCATAGACATGGACCTCGTTAAAAAAAGAACTCACCCTAGACCTAGTTGGGGGGGGGGGGGAGTGTGCCACGTCTATGGGAGTTGAGGAAGTATTGTTTTTCAACATTGACATCGATTCTACACGGTCAAATATAACATCTCTGTGTAGCAATATCAAACACATTGCACAATACACTAAACTCGATCCCCCATATATATATATATTTTAGATCGAGCCGGGAACTTTTTACCCTAAACTAAAATTCTAACTCGTCCCTCAAAAATCAATTCGAACTTAAATTTTCAACAATAAAAAAAACTTCGACCCTATAAAATTAGATCAAAACCCGTCAGATTTAAATTTTATACTCATCTCTAATTTTCACGCATCAGTTGAATTCTTTTGAAGGCCCAAAACTAAGATTGTCGAACTATGTTTGTGACGAGGTATCATCAAAGTGAAGATTGTCCTTATAGTTTCATTATTAATCGAATAAATTTACAAAAAGAATATGACTCTTATTATATGTAGTTGCAGTCTAATCCTTAGTCAATACAAAATTACCGAACAAAATGAAGAACGGGAAATTAATCGATTCCATCTGTAATCTTGTTTTAGCATTAGGTGATTGGGTTCCCAACTAACCTCAACTGAAACCAACTTCCCCCAAGAGAGCCTAAGAGAAGGTTTAGGTGAATCTGTCCATGTTCTTTTCCAACCAAATCATACAGGTTCCATATTGGAATATTTCCAAGTATTTATTTTTAATTTGAGTATTTAAGTTTATTAGATCTTGATTACTTAAATTTAAGTTATATAAAATCTTTAAATGGGATAAATACTTTTTTATTCATAAGATAACTTTAAAACATAACTTAAAGGATATCAAATCTTTATCATTCGATTTACGAAACTGTTATAAAATATAAAATTGTTTGTTTTTCTTATAATTGAAATCATAATCCAAAATTCTAATGTTAAAGAATGTGATAAATTGTACGAAACAATTTACCTCGGTGATTAAAGGAATCGTTGTTCTTCCTAAAGGTCACGGGTTTGAGCACCAACGACTGTAGCAAGGTGATTGAGCGTTCACTGTCAAATAATTGAGAGTGTTTTTAACATATACTACTTTATAATTATCTTAGTTTAATAAAAAAAATGACAATTAATTTAAATAGAATAAAATGAGAATATAGAGGGTGGATCTCGAGGTTCTCAAGTTCGTGGACATATATATATAAGTATCTAAAGTTTTTTTAAGGAATTATGCAAGGCCAAAGTATAAAAAAAAATTATACTTTGGCTTTGACTTTCCACTTTGGCCATGCAACTTTTATGTTATTGATGTTGGAGATTAGTGATGATTAAAATTATGTGTAGAGACTTGTCGTGTATTCGACAATAACTAGGGTTTTATGAGATTGGTTGATTTTGGTTTAATTTGATGTTATAATGGTTAGAATAGCATGAATTTGATGTAAGGAAGTTGAATGAAAAGTTTGCTCTATATACTTGAATAGGTTGGGCCACAAGAGGAAAATTAGGGGGGAAATATTGAAATTTTTCCTAGGGTCTAGAATATATATTAGAAGTGTTCTATGTGGTCTGGAGATCAATTTGGATTAATTTGGAACCTTAATATAGTAAAAGGGCTAAGTTACAAGTTTTGAGAATTTTGGGACGTTATTGTATAATTGTGAGAATTGGGAAGTTCAATGTTGAATTTTTAATTATGCGGTGCTGGAATTTTAAGTTGGAAAGTTGTTTGAAACCAAATTGCAAAATTGGTAAATTACAAGGTGGAATTTGAAAAGTCTTGACACTTTAGGAACTTAGTTGCAAGCTTGTCAAATATGAAAGCATCATTTGAGTAAAATATTAAATTCCTGTAAATTCTATTTATATGATGATTTTTTTAGTTTAAATGTTGAGTCGGAATCAAATTACAAGTTTATAAAGATGAATGGTTAAATTCGAAAAGTCTGGAAATCGAGTGTAACATCTTTAACTTGTAATTCAAGACGTATACGGGTTATGAGTGCTACATTTATTGGTATCAGAACTGTAAGTTTATTCGATTATCGACTTAAATAAAGTCTATATTATGTTGAAAATATGTACATGTCACTAGGATGTCAAAATTACAGATATAATATATTTTGATGATTCTATATGGACAAAAAGAGATAAAAAGAATATATATATAAAAATGAACGCTCCTAATAAATTTAAAACTTGTAATTTAAGAGAATATATAAAAAATTTAACTTTTAATATAACCATTTATATCTAATTTATGAATCAGCTGATTCAAATAAAATATTATACAAATTTCTTACAAATTCACGCTTCCAATCGTTATTTTATCAAGCTTCAAATCATTTTTATCAAGTTAAGATAATTATAAAGTAGTATATATTTTAAATACTATCAATAATTTGATAATGAACGCTCAATCATTCTGCTATAACTATTGGTGTTTGAATCTGTGACATTTAAG